GGAAACGACTTAATGACTAAGATTGTATTCACACAAGACCTAGCTTGCCTTTAGATAGTTGAGGACAGAAATACGTGAGGTGATCGAGTTCAAAGTGACATCAGTAGATTCAACTCAAAAATCTGTTCAAGATAAAATTCTGGAAGACACAACGAAAGCGAGCTGGACGATATCGACGATTTTTCAAAAAAAACCAGAGAGTGAGAATGGGTAGTCAATCCGACGACTCGTTGTCTCTCATTTTTTTAATTTTCTTGGAGCACGTTTGCAACGCCACGATATCATTCGAGCTGTACGTTTTTGTCAGTCACTGACCGTATTATAGTCACCGCACATCCATGGCCAAGATGCCAACTATGAGCTTCAGAAACCAGATCCTCACGGCTACTAAATTCGGTATCCGGAGTAAGGAATCATGCCTCGTGTTTATTTTCTGTAAGTGGTCTCAAAAAGTTGCAACACAGTTTTGATATAGTTAAGTCTTTTTACGCAGACGTGATATACATTCTAGCTAAAACGTAAATATATTTAAATGCAGTATCGTCCACTCACAGTAAGTTGTTTTACTATTTACTCATCGAATGAAAAGGGGAGTATATCAAAATCCAAAGGGAGCGAATTTAACAACCCCTTATTTTCCGTACAATAGGGATTCATTTGGCTTTAGTGAGAAGTCACTATAGTGCGTACACCTATAGTTGGTGTCTGGTACGATAATCGTCCGCGATTCATTTCTGGCTTTTTATTTGTGACACGGTATCATTCACTGGTATAAACTTAATAAAGGCAGATAAACACTCAATGACAATATGCAAAGTGAACGTTTCTTAGTTTAGAATATACTCGGCTACTCTAAGCCTAATTTTTTTTTAAATAGCACACAAGCAATCGCAATGTCGCGGACCACGAATCGTACATTTGCATTTTAGTACTGGCACATTCCACATAACGAATTTTTCAGCCGAGCCATAATAATCAACACTTTGCGATTTTAGTAATCGTAATTTAGTGACCGGTAAAGTACTGGCGCTTTCTACTCTCTGGATGAAGTTCTTCTTCAACAACATGGAAGACTCATCTTATAGTTGTTGCTAGCTGGAAGGAGATTCGGTGTTATTATTTCTGCAGAGGATTTTCGTAAAAGTAGCTATCTGAATATATTATAAGACTGAACTACGAGCGGAAATCGTTGTCAGAAGAAGTATAGCAAAGTGCAGTATCGTGTGGTTTTCAAAGTTATAAAGTATTGTGAGTGAGCCGTTATACGCACCCCATCCTTCTGTTAAACGTTCCATAGCCCAATTCAAGTCAAGAATTTTCTTTGGGAATCACTTTAATGTTTTGTGTAACACAACCTATTTCTTAACAAAAAGATTGTAAAGCTACGAACCACATCATTCTGTAATAAGACCATGGTCAAATAAATCACAATTACATTTAAGATTTCCAAGTCTCCGATGCGAGCTAGTGTTTTTAAATTCATTCTCCGGTACCTAACACTTGCAATATCACATAACGGCCCCTGCCGTGTTGAGCGTGACAAATTTAGAAATTGCAGTGTATCGGAGACTGATTACAAAAATGTACGGTAAAGTTTGTTGGATTTAAACGTGTCATATTTATTAAAGTGTTTTGAATTAGAAGAAAACTAGGTCTGATCAAATTTTTGACTCTGTCATAACAAACAATCAGCAAAGAGCTATAAATTATTGAGAGGTGGAACTCGAAGTGGATAGGATCGGTTCTTTAGATCTTTATAATGTACAAACCTTGCTTGAGACGGCAGAGGTCTGTGTGACGAGTAGTCACTTCGTGACCGACTAGAATGGAAGAGCTAGCGTTGATTCTCTTGCATAATGTCGTGCATAATTACCCAGTTTATTATATATAGTGCAAAAAGTGCTGAAGAAGACTCCAAAAGCTGATGAAGCGCAGCCACGAGAGACCTTCGATGTCTTTGCGTGGGTCACAACTCAGGACTTGATTCATTGGTAAAGATCACAACGTTGTCAAATATATTCTATCTGTTAGTGTTAAGTCAGAGCTACACTGAGACACCGCAAAATTATTGATCTCATCCCGGTACCGAGCATTTCAGACACTACGAGACGTCGGAGTAACTAAAGAAAGGGAGACGAATGAATATTACTACATCTTCAACGACGGTTCCCTAGTAATCGAAACACATGCATTTCCCCCGATTGTATTTAGCGCCATGTGAAAGTGCGGATTTGGAGATGCAGATTTTAAGCTGTAGGACGAAAGCAAAACTGCGGTGAGTGCCACGAGGAAGGACACAAAATTTGAGCATGTTTCATCCGACGTCAAAGACTCTTTAAATTTTCTCGTTTCAACCGAAGTCGTTTCCAGTACTTTTGCAAGCTTCTAACCAAACATCAGTGTCACAACCATTATAAATGTTGAAAAGCATACGTAAGGCACCCAGTGGATGTAAGAATTTAAACTGGCGTATTCATGCGCGACTGTCGTTATTTGATATCGATCTTTTAGTATTCACGATTTTCTGTAGTGCGAGTAGAATGCAGGCATCGTTTAAATTTGAGCACTTAATTTCTTGTTATAGGAAGAAAATTAAAAACTGAATAGAGACTAAATACGCGAAAAAAAATAAAAGACTGAATACAGAACAAATCGTATATAATATTTGGGTACCTTTTATTTCGGTAAGCTGTATTTACAATGCAGATAAAAATAAAATAAGATTTGTAATTATATAATCCTCAAAGAAAATAAATGTGAAATGAATTGATTATAAATAGCTGTTTGAATGGCGATAATTTAGTAGCCGTATCGAGATAACGCGCTTCGTGTGTATTAACGTCACACCATCTCAAGCACACGAATTTTGATGTGCCCACAGCAACTAACGAATGATCTTCACAGGCTGCTTTGCGTGTTTACTTGCTTAAGATGTTTGCCAATTATTTTGGTCCCATAACATTCGACTAACAAGAAGGGTCTAAGCGATTATCAAAGAGCTCAGTTTTAATCGACAGCATCTCACCGTATTTGTAAGTAATTTCTTGCAACACATCGTAGAAGAGCAATACATGATATAAAAAACTTTATCGAGACAATGTTCCTTACCGAGAAGTACTTCTCGCACGTAAGCATCAATTGGATGATAAATGGCAATTTCAAATCGAGCTTGGTCTTACACTTTCCTATGAATGCGACCAATTTGAATTTGACACACCACCGATATTTTTAGTGAATTCACAATTCTATCTATCACTACTCATTATCTTTTACTAATGAAGTCCATCAGCCGACCCCAGCGTCTTCACCTGTCCGCCGCATTGGTTAATCGTAGTTCAAAATATTGAATCGTTGAATGCGTCATCTTGAGCATCAACTTCCTATCAAACATTAAGCATTTAGGTTGTCAATAGCTCCTTCGTATTCTTCACAGTTACTTTGTCAGTTTCATCCGTAGTGTTGTACATAACTAAGTTGCAAGAACACTTACTGTCGCACCAATTCTATTACTAACAGATTCTTCGTCCTTTTAAGTCTGTAATACACTGCGCAAAACAAACGAGACTGAATAAATATACGTATTTGATACGTACATGCTCTTGCTGAAGTAGAGTTATTGCTATCAGTTTTAAGCCGTTGATGACACCAGCCGTATCGTCCATCTCCTGTATATCTCCCCCCATCGGAATGTTAAAGAAACATCAAGCTAAGACTACAGTCACAACTATAAGATCAAAATTTTCATTTTTTTCGAAGGATTATAATTACCTCTATACATCGAGAAAAGTTTAGGTTCCAGATTTATCCGAAATATGGACTGTGGTACATACAACAGGAGGGTGGTCGTATACCGGCTTCCTAAATAATTGCTTTTCAGAAAAAAGTATCGTTCTACATTGCGGTTAATCTCTACGGCTTCTTTTCCTTCATCGAGTGCAATTCATGTTGCTGCATCGGCTTCGTTGCACCACTGTCTATCAATTCCCTACATCGTGTATAGTGCCACCACCCTGTAGTTTCATCTTCCTCTTGTTCCATTTTCTCCTTTCTATGTTTTTGCTTCGATGTTTTTTTTGTATGTTCAATGCCATCTGAACGTGCACGTAACAGCGTTGCCTCTTTTAATATTTGGACGAGGTTTTGTCCTTATGAATACAAACTCTGACCTAAAAAATATTGTCGATATCGAAGTTACTGGAACAGGGGACTATAACTATACGTAAGACGTATTTTATTAAAATAGTCACAACTTCTGGCAAATAGTGTCCGCAGGAGACTCGTGCGTATCGAACGTAGTAAATCTCTTTATGGCATTGCTTTGTCTGGTTAAAAAACAATTGATGGATCTGACGAGTGCTGCCATGTAGTTGCATCATTTTTATTGGCTTGCGAGAGTAGTAAAAAGAATAAAAATATATCTAGCAAGCAGTATCAACCATCACTACGTACCTGTATATATATTGCTTCAAAGTGTTTTCTTTACGATAAAGGGAGTCAATCTTTCCAAAAAGGAGTAATTCAAATTATTCCTAGGTTTAGATCATTTTGACATACCACCTAAATGTTACTTACTACCCCAAATCATCACACCCATACCACACCACAGTACGATGTGCACAACAAACATCGCGTAAATATACCTTTGTACGAATACTATCGCACAACACTCTACATCTATCATACAAATGGTATTTAATCTACCAATTTATCTTCTTAGCACGCACTGGACGACTAAAGCTCTTTGGCTTTGTGAACGACTTGATCAAAGACCACGACTAACTCGTCACTACAAGTGAGATCCATCTAGGTTATTAATCCATATCTTTTGTAATTGTCAGCAGTCAGGTTTCAGTCGAAAAATGTTCAAAAATGAATGGTTAGCGGAAATAAAAAAAGGCCCAGATAACTAGAAATAACGTTATTATTGCTTATAACTTTTTGCAATCAGGTCGAAGTGGTAATTTTAAGAATCAATTTATAAGTCATTTCTTAATTTCTATATGCGACCGAGCTCAAACTCCGCCTTGTCGGGGAGCTGCACAGGGGGTTCTGCCGTGGGTGTGCTGTGCCCGCAGCCACCGGTTGTGTGTGCAGACGGCACGGGGAAGACGCGAACGTTTGTTATACTGTTACTCGAGACCATAAATGTAGAAGTAGGTGCTGGTGTTGTTACCATTGATTAAATTTTTTTGTAATTTTTTTCAGTATATGTTTTGCAATTGTTCTTTATGTTGTATCTAAATTACTGTTGTTCTTTGTTCCAGTTCTGCTGTTCTGATATTAGTGCTGTTGCTGCTGCTGATGTCTTTGTTACTCTTGATTCTTTGTGCTGGTCTTGTTTTTTTTGTTATGCTGCTGGTGTCTTTGTTGCTCTTGATTCTTTGTGCTGGTCTTGTTTTTTTTGTTTTGCTTCTACTGCTTTTGATTGTGTCGTTGTTGTTGGTCTTTTTGCTCCTTTTTTAATGGTGCTGCATATTGTAGCGGCTACTTTTGCTGTTGTTTAACCAATGTTGCTGTGACTTTTTGCTGCTGTTGCTGCAGCTGCAGTTCTGAGTGGTACTACTGTTTTGTGATGTTGTTGGTACTACATTGCTGCAATTGTAGTTTTCTAAGTTGTGGTCTCAAAATTCCCTTCCTTCCAACTCGCTTTAGTATCTTAAGCATTACCAACCTTTCAGTAGACTGTAATGAACCTATTTGATCTATTTTTAAGAGATGTAAGTACTTTTGCCGGTATTTAACGTTGGTGTTCATGAATTTAAACTCAATGAACATCACACTGGACATGTAGAGCTTCAGATAAAATGAAATTACACAAAAGACGTTAGATTTGGTTGCAATGTGTACGCACTACAGCATACATGTCAGCCTTTTGCTCTTCGCCGATAAAAATTGATGGGATGTAGCTTTAGTACTTACGCATTGCATCCGTAAAATCTGTCACGGAATACCTGCGGGCACTGAGATGAAAGCCTCATCTGTTTTCTTAAGTCAGAAGTTTTATCAAATTTCGCGTGAATGGTGATCGTAAATAGGTTGAGGTCTTTACTGTACACATTGTCGGTATGCGTAATTCATGTTACCTTGCGTATACAAGGTTATGGATGAATAGCGTCACTTCTTTGAACTGACATTGTGTTTATAAGCGACGGACGAGCGAATAAATCATAGCACTGCATTCAATTCTAACAGAAAAAAAATGAACGCTTTCAAGCCAATACAAAACGTGTGTGGGTAATGAAGTACGGCACGCCTACTGCCCCTACGTATCAAGTCGGAGTAGAGCGCCAGAGTTGTGTATGTCAAAACTAATTTAAGTCTCGGGTTTTCAATAGCAAATTTGCGTGCTATCCGACTTTAGATAATTTTGCCGACCTGTGTCGCGCTTGCTTGCGTGGTCGACACACCTCGCCACTTCTACCTGTAGCGACGTGCATGTAAACAAAGAAGAACAAGCGAACAAGCCAAGAGCTGAGTCTAAAGGAAGCAAATGCATGCACCGCCAAGTTTCTGCGCTTAACTACCTATCAATACGTAAAACCCACAGACGGACGCATCAATGCTCTCGATGCCAATTTCTAACAGATGAAGGAGCTTGAAAAGATAACAAGCGCAGAGAGGAGGATAAACAAGTCGCCAAATCCACAAAGCACGGAAAGTTGTCGTCGATAACGCACCATTACTCAGTGGTGTTCGGTAGGTCGCATGTACCCCGTGCTTATGAAGCGCTTTTGAAGAGAAGATATATAGTTCGGATCAAGCTACTCTTTGCTTTCTTAAAAACGTTCCTCGATACATGGTACACACTGGACGAGTAAATGCCTGCCGACCGCATAGACATGTTGGAGATCGGCTCGTAGTCAGATGTAAACATCTTAAATACCATTGGCAAGCGAATTTATTACTCAAAAGGCACCAATGCTGTCTTGAAGCAGTTACGCGTGCTCTATCGTGCCAGAGGGCAGAACAGCTACATTCAGCGCTACCGAAGTCTTGTCTGGTCCGGCGCGATCGTTGATCCTGCTTCAGGTTACACACAGGACATCTTAAGAAAATTGTAAATTAAATTATTAAGACTTACGCACATATCACTGCTTTTAAAAATAAATTTGTAGAAAGAAACATTTATGCACTTACAGAGGCTGAAGCTAGATGGGTGGTTATACTCGACACTTAAGAGCTATTACTTCGAGTAGTTCACGTGCAGTCCGCGCTCGATCACGACTGCAAATAATCGACGTTCTTGACGGGAGCTACCCATAAATCGTACAATTGACCTTAACGCGATCGTTGTCGTTTATCTTTCGTCTTGCAAGCCATCGTGCAATGAGCGCGTTGACCAGCTGCCTCAAGGCGGCGTACAACGCTGAGCAAAACAAAGATAAGTAGTCACAGTATCGATACTTTAAAGCAAGATGTGCATGATGTGTACCGATCGTACGATGCGTCGGGAGGTAGGACTTTACATGGCATAGGGGATCGTGTATTTTCATTTGTCTGTGCCCTTTTTTCGGCATCAATAGAGATTTTTACAATGTCCCAAAATTGTAGCCGCTGTACGCGATTCAGGAGAGAGCAGTAGTATGTAGGGATTTGTCTGCTGATCATTATTTTGTTATTGTTGGTGTTTTATTGAATGCAATAAGAGCTACTCGAAGAAACACTTTGGTGTAATTTTCTTTATTCGATTTTTTTTCTTGAAAAAAGTCGAATAACTCAGCGAGCAGAAAGACTTGCTAAATACTAAAATTGACACATTGTTTCTGCATAAAACTAAACACTCCGTGACTAATTGAACTATACCCCTTTCAATCATACATTCCCCGGGTGACCTCAATGTCCGCATACCTCCTCAGGAGGTACTAGGTCAACGATCATCCTGCTATTTATGCCTAACGAATTTTTACACACCGCCGTCCTACACATAGCACGCATCGCCGCGTCAGTCAAACCCATCCAAGATCTGAAACTTTGCAAGCATGTACAAAATCTAAAAGCAACTGATTGGTATTGTCTTCGTTAGCATATTTGTAGGGTTTCTTCTTGGACGCAACCTTGCAAAGTGTCAACTTGACCATCTTAAAATGACCCCACGAATGAAGTGCCACTTCAGCTCAATGTGTCTGGTTGTTCTGCTGTAAGTAAGATCCGTACCTAAATGGATTGCATCCCAGGACAATTGCAGCTAGGTCTTTATTTCGATTTTCACCGATACATCCACATTTAGCATTTTCTCAACCAAAATGTTTTGTAGACCTGTGGCCTTTTAAGCCGACCAGTGCTCAGCATTTAAAATGGACAGACAACATCCCTTTCGGTCGTGGGGCCCATGCAATAGCCCTTCCCAGCTAAACTGCTGATGTATCCAGCCACGCTGTTTCCTTTTTCCGGTTCATTTACCTAGCCACTACCACAATAACCCTAAATTGAAAGTTCATTTTTTAGCTATACCCATCAAAGTACACTTATACACAAATTCTTAGGCTGGCTTACCGAAGAGATACTCCAGAACCTTCATTACTGCTCCACAATGTTTACGAGTCCGTTTGCCGACAAAATTGCTCAGGTATCCAGCGTCAAAAGAAAAGTTTGGTATTGAGCTCATATCTAGGCACATTAGTCTACCTATAGCACCCCCGTTGTCAAACTCCTAAGTATGTTTATCTTTATCGCAAGCATCAATCTCTGAACTGATTCCTGCAGAATGTTTATCTTTATCGCAAGCATCAATCTCTGAACTGAATCCTGCGGAATTTTCTATTGGAATGCGAGTGTCACTCGCTACACTGTTTTGTGCAAGTATATCTGGAAAGTACTTTTATCTACAAGACATTATTTTTTATACGTTCATTGTTCGATCTCAACATCTGAGAGCAGCGATATTAGTGACAGTTTAATGAACTACAGCAAATTAATTGTATTATCACCGCAAGAGCAGCTGATGTTGACCGAGAGTTGGATGCTAAGTCTTCGATATTACCACAAATAGATAGTACAACATTTTTTTTGTTACGTTTGCAATTGTAATGCATGCAATGGATGGACTAATAAATTTGATATTGAGAATGAAGACACAGAAATATAAAGACGTTCAGAAAAATGACATGTTATCTGTTCTGTATACGATGAGAATGACGCTTCTAAATGGTTGGAGAATTTCTTCGTCTCTGATCCAAGTAAGCCTGCGACCGACGAGGCCGCGGCAAAGGTCGATGAAGTAGCGAGTGATAACGCAAGTTCTCTAGCAGAAGCGACGACGAAAGATTAAGGTATCTGGAATGAGAGTCAAGAAAATCGTTATTCATATGTAAATGAGTCCAAGCGATCAGACAATTGTGTTATCGTCTCCAGAGATGACATCGGCATCCTAAACCCAGATGGGCTGTAACGGGGTAGCCCGTTACATTAAATTGACACCGAACGGTGTCTACAGGAAAATTATCTAGCATGATAAAATTCTACCAATATTATCCGGGATTTTTATATTGAAGGAATAAGCTCTCCTTCAAATAAGATTCATGCAGTGCTCCAAGGGTTGATATAAGACATGTTAACCATAGATTGCCACCAATCGCTGCTAGACGCGCGCATTGAGTGGTGAGCAGGTTGCCGCCATGCGACGACGTAGTTTAACATAGTTAGATAAAGACTGAAGTTATATTGATAGCTTAACTGCATTAAATACAGTTCTCTCTTTATTCTTTTTCTCAAACGAGTCGTTTAAGTAGGTTAACTTCCTCCGCACGTACTAGTGTACGTGAAGTTTCGTGGCACCAAAACAACGGGTACCCCGTTACACCTGGTAGCACTTCGTATTCCGTCCAACGACTACTTAGTGTCCGTCGAACATGAACATGTTAGACGTAGAAGACGACAGCTTTCACGTCACACGTGGAGGCTACTCCTCTCTGAGTGACTCAGAATTAGAGGTAGTCGGCCGCATGGGTGTTGAGTGTGCTCATAGGCGAACCCGCCATCAGTGGTATGTTAGAGTCTCTAAGCAGATACCAACAACATGCTGCTATCAACAAGTTCCTACAAGGGGAACGTTTCGTCGAATGACAGAAGATAGCCTTGCTACAGCAGCAAGGTTCTCATCAGTCGATGGGCGGACCGACGCACATGCGTCGACCCGAAACCTTGAAGATTGATATCTCAGGGTGTAAGGGATTCGACGAAGATTCCCTTTTGAGATGGTTCGTCAAGTTAGACGATGCCACCAGAGCCCGTCACATCTAGGGTGACGGGATGCAAGTCACCTTCGCCCTGTCAAATTTGATAGGACGAGCAAAGACTTGGGCCTTAGGGCTCTAGCTATACGACCCAAACGTGTTTGAGTCATTGGAGATCTTGTAGTCTCGGCTCAAAGAAGCGTTTGAGCCGCCAAGAGCCGAATTCAGAGCACCTTCTGCACTCTTAAGGCTAAAGCAAGGTAAGCGCGACGTGCCCGCTTACGCACAGCACCTGCGCTACCTTGCGAGTAGCGTTACGGAAAACTATGTTGATGAGCACACGATCATCAACGTGTTCATCTACGGCCTTGTGGATGGGTC